TAAGCATTCAACAATCAACTAAATACAAAATCATTTACGAAGATACACCTACTTAATCCTAAAAATTTCGGTCAATGATTATCTTTATTATGCCAAATAAATTTTCAATTTATAACTTGCCCACTATACCTAAGAGATGTTAAAAATACTTTTCAGGAATTCATCTGATGAATCTAGTTGTTATGGGGATGATAGTGACCAAGATAAAAACTACGATCCAAAAGTGGATTACTGAGAACGTTTTTGAGCAACAATGGTCTCGTAGTGGGGTAACTTCCATACACCTTGGTGAACCAAAATCTGCAAAATCCAAGCCCCTCACACAAGTCAAAATTCAAGACATTAAAGCGATGTTAAAATTCATGCCCCCCTCTGATAGAGCCTACATGTCTTTACAATGTTAGGCCTTATTGCAGTATTTAGTTCAGATTGTTGAAAAGTTATTGTTAATATTATTTAGTCTGTTATGTTTTATATTTTCCGAATGTCAGAATAGTTACAAAGTTGCAAAGGTAAATGCAAAATGTTTTAATTTATGATAGAGTTCTTAAAATAAAATAATTGATGTGTTTGACTATCTGTGTTGTTTTCTCGTGATCTTAAACGGTCAATTATTGGTCAGAATGAGTTATTTCTCTTATATAACAACCCCTATATGTCTGATTCTTTTTCTTGAATAAATGTGGGCAGATAAATTCCAAGCCTTTTACCCATTTCCTAAACAATTATGCAAATATATCCATCTAAACATGCAGATACACCAATATGGCTTTGAAATTATTCATATTTGAAAGTCACAAAGGTGTATCTGCAAAATCTCTTCATGAATTGTTCATATTCCAGTGACATTCTGCACTTGAAATTTGGTATGGGAATCAGTATTGAATCATATTAATACCATAAAAAGTCTCAAATGATAATATTTATTTTTAACAGAATTATGAAGTTCTGAAACTTGAACCTCAATTTCCTCAGAACAACAGAGGAAATGTTAGATGGAACTAGTTAATTCTCGGTCGACGATTTGTCAGGGCTCATTTTCAGATTGCTTTGTTCGATTACATATTTGAGCTAAGTCATCTATTAGCTCTTTGAAACTCCAAGTAAACCATGCAGATCTTTCAAGATAGTTTAGGCAAAACTTTCTCCACAAACCTTTCAAAAGTAGCATATGAATGTGTTGCTATAATCCACTTCCAGGTCCAGAAAATAAGGTTTCATGTCTATCACTTTTTGCAACTGTGACTGCCAGTACCCTCATCTGAAATCAAGTGTGATGAACTAATCTTAACCAGACATATCGTCAAGAGTCGTTTCAATTCTACGAATAGGATGCGAATCTTTAATGGTGTGTTATTCAGATGTCGATAATCTCTCCAAAATTTTAAAGAATATCTTTCTTTCTAATAAATACAACTAACACACTCCAAGGACTCTCTGATATTTCGATGACCCCTTTATCAGCTATATTCTCTATCTCTTCATCGGTATCCTTTATCTTTGTATGGGAAGCCAGTCATCTTCGCGGGGTTGTCTGATTAGAGGATGTAACGAAGTTTTTATTTTATGTTACGTCAAATTAGTTTGACCGATATCGGTTTTGGAGCGAGAAAATATTTGTTTGTATTTAAAAAGGAGACTTTTTTTTTTTATCAAAATTTGTATCATAATTCAGGTAAATGCCGTATGCCACATATCCTCATTCAATCGCCAATCGTTGTATTTATGACTTGGTAAACACGTGTTTTTAGTACCAAATGGTTATGCTGTTTGTTGTATGTATAGCGTACTTTGTTTACAAAACTACAAGCAACCTTTAACGCTTGTACCTGATATACACACGAATCTCAATCGTTGGAAAATAAGCATCATGAACAATCATTATCATTATTTGGTAGGTTGGTTTTCTGATAAACCATCAGTTAGCTTAAAGAACATCAGAACTACATATAATACAAAATTAAAGCCTCTACTCATAAGGTAAGCTACTAAGTGTCTGTCGTCCTAATGGCTAATACTGAATGATAACTGTTTTTTTCTTGCATTTACTTTTGTTTATTGTTGTCTATTGTTTCCTCCTTTTAATTGCAGGTGCAATAGAATAGAATATATAATAAAATCAAAATGGATGATCCTCTCCTGCCTGTAGGCCCATCGAAATATGTCAAATATGACAGCACAGAAACATTCGTTACTGAGATAACCGACGGAGGCTTTGAAGAACTTCGACCATCGTCTAATGACACAAACAATCTCGGTTACCGTATAGGACGACGACGAGATTTGCTGACAAAAAGAAAGCGTATAGCTGAAGTGAGTTTTGTGTTAGGAGTAATAGGGATTTTATTAGTTATCATTGATACAGAACTTGTGCTAGCAGGGAAAATTGGAGCCGAATCATCTGCTTCTAATGCGATACGTGTAGTTACTTCGATTTCTACTATTTTTTTGTTAATTAGCATCATTGCGTATCATGCTACTGGACAACGACTATTTAAAGCTAGTGCCGGGTTTGAAGACTGGCGTCTTGGCATGACAGCTACAAAATGGCTAAGATTAAGTATTGAACTTTTGATTTGTTTTATTCACCCACTGCCTTTTCTTCACCTTTTCATACCGACCCCCAATATGGGAAGTAGCATTCTAACATCAAAGAGCCTACCAACTAACGCTATATTGACGATACTAATGTTTCTTAGATTGTATCTCTTCGGGCGCTTCGTGGTCCTACATAACAATCTCTTCTATGCCAGTTCCGTACAAAGTATGGGTGCTTTGAGCCGTGTAAAGATCAATGCTAGTTTTGTTTTCAAGGCTTTACTGTCATCGACTCCGTGTGTTGTTCTGGGGACTGTGATGGTGAGTACGATTGTAATCAATTCCTGGAACATCAGACTATGTGAAGTATACGCTGACCCCAATAGTAAACTTGGTGAATTTACTCAGGCGATTTGGTTAACTACGGTTACGTTTCTGACGGTCGGATATGGTGACATAATTCCACACAGCTTCTGTGGTCGTATAATTGCCTTATTATCTGGATTAATGGGGGTTGGTATTGTGGCCCTTGCCGTCGCTGTACTTGCACATAACCTGGAACAATCGCGCTCTGAAAAATACATCCATACATTTGTACAGCAATTGGCACTAGATAAATGCGCGAAAAACGCTGCGTCCGATGTTGTCAAACAAACTGTTCGAATATGGCTTCTTAAGAAAAATGGTCACTATAAAGGTAAAACTTTATTAAAACATCAAAGTAAACTACTACGAGCTAAACGGAAAATGCAGGAGGCTAAATTTACAAAAAGCCACCTATCGGAAGGTATGATCGGTCCAGTAGAGTTATCTTCTGAACTCAACAACATGTGCGATGTAGTCACATCAGTCAAAGAAGATCAAAAAGGTTTTGAACAAAGAATAGCTAATTTAGAGAATCTGGTAGTGAATATGAGCCGCCAATTACATGATGTACGGGATATGTTAAATAATAAGAAATGTAGATCTATTAAAGAATAGGAAATGGTGATCTTTTCAATAAATACCATTTTTAGAATTTATATAAACTGAAAAAGAAAGTGATAAAATGCTCTTTTAGAGTGAACTGAAATTTTGTACTTGAGAGCATAGCTTCATCCGCGGCTGCATTCGGTTTGTACAGGGAAATTCGATGAAGCTATTGGCCTTGACACGTATTCTCGAAACGATCTTAGCGCTAGGATGTCCTAGAATCAATGTCAGAAGATAGGAACCTAGGACATCCAATCGCTAAGATCGTTTCGAGAATACGTGGCCTGATGCTCAGAGAAAGTCGTTGTTGTTGAAATATTTTTATTACATATGAAAACTATACAGCTGAAATGAAGTTCAATAGTTTTAAAAATTTGTATTTCAAACTGTACAAATTTGTAGGAAGAGTTATTAAAGAAAAAATCGTTGATTTAACATTCTTTAATAAGTTGAACCAGTAAGTATATCTGTAATTATATTCAATATATGTATATAAAGAATACTGGATCATTCTAAATCAAACATGTGATATTTGTTTAAATATTTAAATGTTTTTTTGCTTTGTTTAATTGTTTTCTTGTGTTGAATTTCAAATGAATACACAATTAATGTTCTATATTTAAAACTCTTTGTTTAATACAGAGATCTATCTATCACCGTGAATTTCCCTATGTCGAAAATTACCTCGAAAAGACAAAACTTAAGCTCTGACAATCATTACAAAGGATAGCGTCAGTACAAAGTAGCAGTGCTATAGTAAAAGGGAATACATGTACCTCGAAAATCATCGAACATTTTTCTGCGCACTGTTGTCTCTTGGTCTGTGTTCTGTAGAGATTTTTAACAAGTTGGAAGATAATGTGGTTGGGACCAACAAGGGTCATTGGCAGTACCCGATGCCATTACTTTAAGTGTAGCATTGAAACTTGCTGTTGATCTCAAGCTTTCTTCGGTGTAAAAGAGAAAACTCTAAATTGACATCGAAGATTATGATATATACTGCAAAAGGTATACGTGGATAAAATTATTTAAAAGGTTTCTAGTTACCTTCAGTACAAAAGAGTAGGAGCTCTGTTTTATAGGGTTAAAAGACATTTCGAGTGTACATGATTCACGCCATTAATTAGACCTACCTATTTTATACCTGTCAAGCTAATGTATCGACTGATATAACAATGTCAATATATTAGAGGATTAATAATTGGACTCGTACTTAACCTATCATTGAACTTCCTCACTTGTTTATTTTATTCTATTTTACATTGTTTCAGTTTATAAACATCATCATTAATGAAACATTACCCCCGGCTACAATACACCTACAACTATCATTAGAATCAATGTATATAACTCATGGTTTATCAACTACTCTCTATCAGTTATGACCGGTATATCAATCCCTTACAACAAACACTACTTGTCACTTTATCTAGAACTGATTTGTCAACAGAATCCTTCTTGAACGTTCCAATACACAATACACTAGCGCAGAAAATATCGGTCAATAAAGCTAGTTAAGAGGATCGACCTGTATACATGTAAATTCTAAGCCTGTAATTGTGATTGATGATAAAATAACAGTACTTACGATCCGAATCGCAAAACTAAACCTGAAATCCAAAATATCAGTTTGACAATACATTGGTAGCAGCTTATGAACTTTTCATATGAGGAAGTATGTCAATCATACACGAGGAAATATTTCATGGGACATCCAAGGGTTAAGGGAGATGACATCCTACAAGCGTCGTTGTTGCTCTTTGATGAACACATTGTGAACCGTGTTCTACTGGTTTATCCCTTGGCTACTGGCACCATTCACCTCATTACCTATTTCATGTTGCTGCAATACTGAAAGAGCTCCCATTATCATTGTTTGTACCATGACAAAAATCAATGTTCGAAGGTGAACAACACAGTCGCATAATGGCACCAAGAGTCCCAATAAGGTGGCCAAACCCAGTGCTAGAGAGACATATTGGTTATCACAGTAATGGAGCTCAACTTTAATACATCTTGAAATAATTCAATATGAGTAAGTAGACATAGACAATCACAAAGTACAATAAGTAGCCCACTGATCATTTAATATAATTATACAGAGAAATGTCTACATTGATGACAAGTTAATGATATACAATTATTTTATCAGTTTGTCTATCATCAGGCATTCCTTTGCTTTCTATCACTAAATGACCTTCATGCGACTGACAATAGCTTACGTGCTTTTTTGACCTATTGCAGTACTTATTCGCTCTTCTAAGTCTAAGTGTCTCGCTTACAGTCTTTGATATAAGTCATACCTCTTGTGATTTACCTGCGCTTAAAAAACAAGATCGTCAACACAACCAACGTGGCATTGTATTGCTGACAGCTGTCAGAAAGCTCCATTACAAATTTATTCCTTTTCGCTGACGTTGGCAGCAGTAACTAGTGGGATCCAGCTATTTAAGTCCGAATCATGTGTCGTAAATACAACTGCTTTAAGACCCATCGCCTGCTTTGGAAAGTATCGAAATGAGAATAGAATTTTCTATTTCCTTTCAATTAAAACCAAGACACCCAAGTGGCCAATTTCAGAATGAAAAAAGGCCTGCAGGTAATGGTTTCAAAATAGAATGCCGTTACTTTAAAAATAATCTCGAATCGAACAAACAACGTCAGAATTTTCAATAAAACAGATAGGTTACTTCCTTAAAAAGATTTTTTTTTGCTCGGTTATCATCTGCTAGCAATTGATTTATCAATTAGGAAAGGTTACTTTTTCTTCTAAAGACTTGTTCCGGGGTCTAGGAGTGCTGGTGTACTGGTTTGAATAAACTGTACATCATGACATTACAGAGACATCTACACGGAAGTAATCCAAACCAGTATTTGATAATTGATACACAGCATGTTTAAGGTGCCCTCACACTATTGCGATGATCATGAGTTGCGGTCAGTAGCGGTCATTAGTTTCGAATACAACCTTCGAGTTGCGTTCGGACCTTATGGCCTCATTATTTAATCGCAACATGCGATCGCTATGATGTGAGGCCACCTTAACGTTTTACAATCGTGCTCATCAATCTACACTCCAAGCTCTTCGCCTTGACTTAAGTGAACTTATTCCCATACCATTGGCGATTATTCTAGACAGTTTCTGATCAAATGACAATCATTACTTTTCGATTATAATCAAATTCGTATCTCTAATAATGACCCAATTCTAGCTGTTTGCTTAGTGAATTAGATTATCATTCGGTGATATTTTAAGAGTCGGGATACGAATACACGATGTAAACAAATACTGGATGATTTCTATGTAAATAAAATAGCGGAAACACTGAGATAAATGGTAACTATTATTGATATTTGACGTTGAATTTATTAGCCTCTCGATATTTCATTATATTTTTACTAACTAAAAGGTTCTGTTATAATTAGACAACAGGGTCCTATATTCATGTTAATATATCAACAAGGGAAGTATTACACCGAAACAGGGCATATCACGAGTATATCGGAGCCAAGATAAGCTTACACTTAACGAATAAGATGCGGTTTGGTACTCATGTCCATAAGATGACTATTGGAGATAATATATTCAATTCCACACACAGACCAGTATTGTCTTGATTCATATTCAGCCTAATATGTAATCGTCCTCATTTCAGAATAAATACGACCACAGGGAAAAATTATGAGATTTTTGTAGCAAGCCTTAATCATCGGGGTCTTAAACTCACTAAAAAGGGGTTTATCGGTGGAGCGGTCTGATCTGCCGGGATTTGATAAAAATTCAATTAATACATTGAAAAGTCAGTAAGATTTATTCTTGTCTGTACAGACTATGCCTTCTGAGTGATCGAGATTGAGTTCTATGTGGACTGAACATCGGTTGATTGGATCAAAAATCTTGTCTCTGACAAATATAATGTCACCGAAACGGATGGGAAAAACGTGGGTGGGTGGTTATTTAATCTAACATGAACTCTCTCGTGATATTGTTTAGTATAGGCTATCGGTAGAAAATTGTTGCTTTAATTCTATCAAGCTTGCAATACAAAAGCTCCCTTTCGACAGCTGTTTGTCAATAACATTTCAATTTTCAATCCAATCTTAGCAGTATTTCAGCAGTATTATATTACATTGCAATTTCCGAGTCAAATAACCCTTTTATGATTCAATTGTTCTTATGAAAAACATTTTGAATTGCTACCGAATTTTTATGAATTGAAAAACTAAAATTTTAGACTTAAATAGTTACGATTTATATACGTTTATTTCAAGGGAAGTAATTCTCTGCAATTTTATTTGACCACTGAGGCTACTTATGAAAATTTATTAAAGTCCAATTTTAGACGGTAGTTAGCAGTAAATTGAGTAGGATATTTATTATATGTCTTCGATACACATGTACTGTAATTCGAATTATTGTTCAATAAGTAGCTCTCAATGTAAGGGAGTGCCCGCTAGACCTCTTCTGGCTATCTACCCAACGCCATCATCCTTCTCCTATTCCCCCTTCCACTACATTCTACGATCTCTTCCACACTATTTAACCCTGAGTCTTCTCCCACTATTTGCCCATATCTTATCTTCCTCAATTCTCTTTTAGAGCTGTTTCTCATCCAGATGTCTCCTTCCTCCTTGCTCTGTGCCTCCTTCCATTTGTCACGTGGTGTCACGTTCTCTACACTAATTGGACCTTTACTTGACGACTACCAGCGATCAAGCGCCGAACTCGCTGAAGCAAACTGGAAAAGAAATCTGGTAGAGCACCTTTAACGAATTGGTCCTGATATATAAAGGTTACAATAATCACATTAGAATTAACTCAGGGAGAAAAAGTAAATTGAGCAGACTCTGTCTAAAGATTCCCGCCCATTAATCTTCCTTGGAAACGTTTTTGGCATTAAGCCGAGACGACATCTGACAATTTGTTATTGTCCGTGTCCCTTGGTGACAGAATCGCTTCCAAGTTTAGGCAAATGTTACATTATATTTGTTAGATATCAAGCGATACAGAATGATAGCCATGCGGACATACGCTAACGTTATAGATTTTAAGGAAAGACTGAAGGTAACTCTTAGGCGTAGGTATACAAACTAGCATGTGCATAAGCATTATCGATATTACACACACAGGCATAACAGTAACACATGTTTAGGGTGATTCAAAAAGTTCTACCTCTCTTGCGACAACCACTATAGAAATCATTATTGTGAAGCTCATGATGAGGACAGAAGTGACTGTAACATGGATCTACCTACAATAACAGGACCAAGATGCTATATCTACATGCAATATGAGTATTTTAAAATTAATATGGTTTCCAAGCACATTGATAACTAAGGCTTCGTCTTCACCCTGTGTGTTTTCCCGGAGAATTTCTCCGTCAATTTCAAGACATCTGATTGTGGCCTCAAACTATGGGTTCTCTCCAATTAAGTGTAAAATGGCTTGTATATTTTAATGAAAGTCATTAAAAGGAAACCGTCAAAAATGATAACCTACCATTTCAACCGGATGCAAACTTCATATAACTAACAAGGCTTTTATATAGCTTCAAATGATGATATATAATTTGTCAATTAAAGCTATACAGTCCCATACCATACTACAATGAATCCCCCCCTTTTTGTACTAAAAAAACCTTTGTTTTGACCTCC